TACGCACTTAACATCCACGTTCGTGTGTGTGGTATCGTAGTGTGTGACACGCACGAAAGAATTTATTTCTTTTCTGGGCCCTTTCTGTGTTCCCACCAACTGTTCGTGTTCATGCGGTAGTGATAGTTGTCGTTCGTGCGTGTGGTGAGTTCAAGGAGGTTACAGTTTGTTTTAAGTTCCTTTGGGTGAGTTTAATGGCAGTAAGGACCTTTAACCTCCATGCATGGCAGCCAGAACATTTCCTCCGCCTGCTCTCTCGTTGTGACCGACTGCTTCCCCACAGGAGGAAGATGAGGACCTGCTCTTCTTTAACCCTATCCGTACGTCGTGTTTTACTATCGTATCCATACGAGGAGGGGAACTCTTCGCCACCACTTTCCAAACAGGAAATTTACTCGTAAATCCGATCGGTACGCTTTGCGTAGTAGTCTGTCAAAATGATTTTTTCGAGAAATACTGAAATTTTCAAAGAGATATTCGTACTAGAAGTATTCAATGTGAAGAATACAACCCCAGGGGTACAAAAGGACCTCAGGGCGCACTGGTAGGGTTAAGAGCGTGATCTCCCAGTCCCCTAGATAAAGACATTAGATGTCGTACAGAAGACGGAGCTGCAAGCAGAAATGCCCAGTGTTCTATTCAAACACTTAACAAGTCTACTCGCTACTACAGCGGGGCCCACAACAGGTGCAACGAGAGAGCAAGAAATTCGTCAAGACCAATATCAGTATCAATATCATCACTATCAATATACTGTTTATTGATCTATCTTTTAAATGGGAGGCAGCGTGGTGGAATCAGGCTCTCGTCAATTTTGGGGCATGTAGAGTTATTGATATCATCTAAATGTTTGTTCACCTTTCTTTATATAGATGAAAAAAATATTCATTTATCTTGAATGCAAGTCGAGATATTTGCGAATGAAGGAGTTGGGGGGGGCACCTGTTTTCAGAGGTAAAATTAGTGAGAAAATGGCCGCCAAAGGATTAGTTATTTCCTAAACTTTAGAGTCCGTTGTAACTGAAAATTTACATTTTTTGTACCTTTAATCAATGTTTTTCAGAACAATCCACACAGAAATGAGTTCTTTAATGGGCATGAAAGGTTTTGAGCCAAAAAACAAAATCTTAATAAAAATTCACAAACCTGCGGAAAATGCCAGTTTCTTTACTTTGATTGTTTTGACGAGAGCCTGATTCCACCATGCTGCCTCGCAAATGTCTTGTTTGTAATTGGTGCTTTTTATTCAATAACTAGAACTCCAGAGTTTGCAGGTACATATACTTCCTTTTTGCACTGTAGCCAGAACGCTGGATAATATTTTTGCTCAAATGGGGTTACTGACTGGGACTCATAACTGTTGTTTATTAGTCTCAGTGAGTTATGGAACCAAAGGGCTCTTTGTAGAACAGTCATTTCACAAGAAAATGATGCTCTTGTGAATAATTTGAGCAGGACTATCGGATTAGATTTAATCGGTGTTTGGTGTACTATGAAGAACAAAAATCAAGTGACCCCGTAGACTGTTTCAGCTGGCGACAAAAATACACACACACACAAGAAGAAGAAGAAGAAGAAGAAGAAGAAGAAGAAG